AAGTTGGCTTTGGAGCAGTTGCAGTGACCTCAACTTGATATCTTAAATAGCACATACTGATACAAATCATATATAAAATTTTGCTTCCATTTGTCAGTTGCTTACTTACAATACTTACTAGGTAATGTAAGTCCTGGGTAACTCAAGTGGGAGTTTTAAGGATGCAATATAGCTGCAGCTGAGAAGACTGGATCAACAGGTTAAAGCCCTAAATGCATGAAACCCCCTATGTCTTTGCAGGAAAGGAAAGTCTGCTTTACAAGAACCATTGTTCCGTTGTTTTTTGGGGCAGGAAATGTGGTTTTGTGCTTTGTTAATACAATGCCTTACTCAAGTGGTTGCTGATCCCTGATCCGTGTCTCTTCAGTGCTACAGCAATCAAAAGCTAAATAACAAAAAAGGCATTTTAGGGCTCTGGTCCTGTAAGTTACTCGTCCAAAGCCACAGAGCAAAATGATGCCGAGCTCGATTTAGCACACAAGGAATTTCTTTTACCCAGTCTCAGCCTCAGACCATTATTTTGCTTCTCTCTAGCAAATGACCTTGTCTGATGTGCTCCAAGACACATCACGCGGGTCTCGGCGTGCCACTGCCAGCACTTCTGCTCCTCTGAGTCACTGTGAAGGCAATTGGAGAGCAAGTGCCTCCTTCCTTCTAGGTTTGACACTCAGGAGGAAGCCTTTGGAAGCGCGGAGGAAACCCTGGAAGTCATGTGGGGTTGATGGGCAGGCTGTCATGCTTCCAGACTGGCAGCTAGGAAGGACCTCAGCACAGGGCAGGACTCAGTGGAGACTGAGCACCTGAAACAGCGCTGGCAGCATGGTCCCGAGTCTGATGACTCTCTTTCCTGACAAATATAAAAAGAAATAATTCATTGTTTTGAGCTGCATTAATAACGTGCAGAGCAATAATCCCTGCAAAAGTCAGGTCATTGCATACATTTATTGGTTTCCATCATTTATGAGGGTCCAGGAGCATGTCTCTATGTTGTCTGGGCTGTCTCCTGGGAGGCACCTCTCGCTGCTTCCCCAGATGGCAGGCGGAATCTCAGAGGGAGGATGGTGTTTGGATGCACACCCACTCCTCAGAGTATGTCCTCATGCAAGTGCTTTGCCTCGTGGTTGTGTGGGCATGGTATTCTGCCCTTGCATTCAATTCAGTTGGTCTCTTATTCAGAATAATACTTCCCTTAGGAGAAAGAGAGTACTGAATGCAGTGTGTATCCCACCTATCAGACATCATTGTTTCCAGCAAAATCAGTGGAGTTATTTGCGGAGGATATAGTCCAGTGTTAAGAAAATCTTTCAAGCATAGGAGCAAAAAACATGCCTGTGTGTTTATATTCTGGAATTTATCCGTTTTCAGGCACAGACAAAGGAGTATTAAGGACCATGAGAGAGTCCCATTGCGGGTATAGTGTACAAAGGGTGTGAGGCATAGGACAGGGTAGGCTGGAATAGGATAGGAGAGGAAGGGAAATAGTCTCAGTCAGGCAAATAGGGCAACCTAGTCCAAGGAACTTCTCCAAATCTGCTTGAGGGTGCCCAGAGAACAGGTTGAGGCCCTCTTGAAGTTACAGTTAAAGAAGTGAAACTATTATAAAAACAATATTCGAGGTGGGCACAGGCTGCAAATATGTTACTTCTTCTGAAAAAACAAACTAATTAAAAATCATTTCCTCTCCTGTTTCTTTGCCAACACCTATTTTCAGGGCTCTGTGCTTCCCCTCAAGCAGCCAATGAAATCTCAGGCCCCTAAAACAAATAGAGGCAGTATTCTCAGGACTTGGCTGGTAAAAGGAAAAAAGAAAGGAAATTATGTTAAAATATTTTGCTTTAAAATAGTCATTTGTATATTCATGCACATTTTGTTATTAATTTTGGCTAGCAAATAGTTCTCTTTATAAAACAACAACTTAACCATTCACCTTTCATATGCAGTTAAACTCAGATCCTGCGTAGTCTTAGGTTTCTGGTGCTACTTCCAGGACACACGCAGGAGCAGTTCTCTTTAAAACTTGTATGTGAGGTACAGCTGGGTTGAATAAAGACAGTGTAAATCATGCTCACTGCTTACCCAGGGCTGCCATGCACAAGGAGTAGAGCCACACTCTGCAGTTCTCATCCTGTGTGTGTGCTGAGCTTGTCCCAGCAGCGCATCAAATCGTACGACTGGTGTCTCTGCTACGTATGTTCAGTCCCGGATCCAAAAACATAGGTGGTGGAGCCTCTTGCTCTGTAGAATGGGCAGAGATGGTTGTGGGCCCTCCTTCTGCAAGTATTCAGGCCATCTGTTGAAGTCACGGTGGCTGTCCATGTGCTGGAAGTTAAATACACACATTGATCAGATTGAAGTTTGAACTACTATTCAAGTTTCACTTGAGTAAAGGTGACACATGTCCCTCGTGCAGTGATACCAATCCACAGGTTACAAAACTTAGAACAAAAGATAAATATTCCATGAAATAATTGATAAAGGAAAGGATAAGCAAAATGTGGGAAAAATACTGCAAATAACATTTCTGTGCTAAGTAAGTTTTAAGTAAGGATTTAAAATGAAAAAGGAATGGAATTGAGTTGTGTTCCCACTAGTTGGCAATGCTTCGCTACCATTGCTTTTTTGTTCTTCCGCAAAATGACTGTGTTATCACTCAGACATCTCAAACACATTGATAGACTCATCTGTAAGGCATTCTCCATCCCACTTTTATGGGAGCTGCTGGGCAGTCAGCTGAACAGTAGTTGAGTTATTAGAGCCTGGTTGCAAACACATAAATAAGTGTATATTAGCGTTCTTGTGAGTATGTGTCTGGACTGAATGCGATATAAAAGTTATATATGTCGTTATGTGGTCATAGGCTTGGGTTTATGTAAGGAACCAGTTCGGATCTACTGAATTCTTCAGTAGCATATCACAGCTGTGGAGACACTGCCTTTGACAAAGAAAATGGCAGGTGAGTGTAGGTTGGTACAAGTCATCACAGAAGCAGGAATATTTTAAGACATGGACATAAGAACAACTTACCACAGGGAAGCTAATATATAATCTTGCAGCTTGTCACCCTCTCTCTGTGTGTGTCTATATGTGGGAAGTTCCTGATGACTGACTGCACTATGGAAAGTGGGACAAGCTGTATTCCATGTTGTGCAAGGTCATGAGTGAGAGGTATGGTTACCTCAAGTGGGCCTCCTTGTCCCCTTTTGCATACTTCCTCATTGTTCAGTTTGGCTAGCACTGTTTAGCCTGCCTGTGTTTCCACACATGCTGTATAGATGATCCTCTCAAACAGTGGTGGCAACGTTGCTCAGATGCTTTTAACCATGCTTTTTAACCCTTCTCCTAGTGCAGCCTTTAAAGGCTGCTGTGTCAGTGGCGGGTGAAGTGATTCCTGTCCCATGCAATTGTGTAGCTCAACAGTTAAAACTGTAAATTGTTTTGTTGTCGGCCCTATTTCATGTAAATTTACATCCTCCCCAAAAGAATGTGAAGACTGCGAAGAGAAACATGCAAGAGTTGGGAAAGACCACAGAGAAGGTCCCCTCTTGGTTTTGTGCATCATCTCTTCAGTTACATGGATTAGGCAATTGCGCAGTGTTTTCCACCAGCTTCCTCCTGTCTTGCTGATGGCACAGGAATTACAGATGGAAAGAGACACTGTTATACAGATAGGCAAGATGAAACTATTCAAGGGGATTAATACCATGCCTACCTTTTCTCTAGAGTCACTGTATAACAGTGAACTGTAGCCAAATACTTGAGCTGAGATATTCACAGAAAGCCTCTAATAGTGAGTGCACAGGTTTTGGGGCTTTAGAGAGCAGCTCCTGGCTATCCTTTGCAAAAGGTGCAGAGCACACGTAAAGATGGTTTGGGTTGTGCTTTGAACTACTCATCGTCTGATGTATAATGCCAAGTGTCCTGGAGAAGTTAGGCTTCTGGTCCTGGAGAAGTTAGGCTTCCGGTGTTTCTGTGCTGGTACCAGCTGATACTTCTGTTAATTTTGATTACAGTTTCTCTCTGTTTCTACCACCAGTTGTAAGGTAGGGACCATGCCACCTCCTTTTTATAGGTATGGAAGCAAGGCTGCAGTGTTTGTGGTACACACAATCGCTAGAACTAGTAAGTAGACAAAAATGTCCATGAAGATGTTTATTATCTCTCCTCAGAGAGCAGGGCTTGGTCACTTCATATTCTATAAAAGATTGTTTATAAATTGTTATTAGCTACCCATTTTGTGGACCTCCCATTCTGGCCTCTGGGGCTCATTGATCTCCACACATCTCCCTATCTCTGCCTCACTGTTCTGCTCCTCTGCTTTCTCCTTTCGCTACTTCTTGAATCTGGTGGCTTCCAGAGAGAAACTTTGCCGTTAGGAGGGAGAAGCCAATCAGTTGTACACTTGGTCCATGTCTTTGCCCCATGACTGGCACATCCCTCTAAGCTACATTTGTTGCCATGGAGGAGCATCTGTGAGGGTGGCAGGTACCATATCTAACCAGCATAGAGAAAGGCTCTACCCCAATCACAGGGAATTGAATCTAAGCAGCCTATGCAAGCGGATTATTTTCAAAGGCTTATAACTTGGCCAAATCTGGGCAACTTTTAATAAAAACTTTTCCCCTGCCAAATTTCAAGTGCTTTCTCCAAAACATGGAGGCACAAGAGCTTTTTAATGAAACTGTTATTAAAAAACATAACAAAACTAGGAATAATAACATGTTTTTTCTCTCAGATGTTCTCAGAAGAGTTGTTCTGTTGTTCTCAGAAATGGCTGAACCAGTTCAGCCTGGTTTATTTGTTTTGGAAGGAGTCAGCTGAGGCAAACGTTCAGCATGGGAAATTTCAGCCCAACTGGTTAGCCTTTCTCCAAGTGGCAAAGTTTAATGCAAGTGGAAATGGACTTAAACTGAGAAGTCAAAGGCAAGCTCACTTACCAGCAATGCTCCTTGCTTAGTATAGAAAAGGACTATATATATTAACTGCTTTTTTCCTACTGTTTCAGATTCTTTGAGTATATATTCCTCTACAAAGATGCAGTGATGTTTCAGATTGAGCAAGTTACAAAGCTCTGCTCGAAGGTTGCTCTGACAGAGCCATGGGATCCGTATGATATTCCTGCCAATTCAACTTACGAAGATCAGTACTACATTGGGGGACCTGGAGACAAAATTATGGTACAGGAATGGTCTGACAGAAAACCAGCCAGGAAACGTATGTGCATGTTTTTGTTTCCTCTTAATAATAGTCATTGTCTCTGCTACCCAGGGAAAAATACGTCTCACCCCAGCTTTCCAGGTTTCTATAATGCTTGCTGGAAGAAATAACAAATATATCTTGTGCACAGTGTATAATTTTATTATCAATGTTTTTTATTAAGAGAGTATTTTATATCTCAGCAGGATCACATATGGTCAAGGGACTTGAATGTATTTTAGTTCATGTCATACAGATTTTGGCATGGAACAGCATCATTTTGCTTCTGCTTGCAGCAGCCTGTATCCAAAATTTATCTACAGAAGAATTGGTAGTGTAATTAGGAGCACACTCAAACTAGAGTGGGCATAATAGAAACAAAGCAGGTGTCAATGTGTATGTCTACACACTACTATCAAATGTCACTGTAGAATACATCCAATACATGGTTCTGCAGCAATGGACATCCTTAACATTCACTTAAGTTTTGTTATTTGTTATGATGTAAGAAGCATCAGCACTTGGCAGCTGAACACCTGCATCATGAAAGAAAGTAGCCTGAATTTTGCAGGGTACCCTAGGTACCCTATTTTGGAGGCACAGCAGTTTGTTAGCACATCGGCTTCAATTTCATCTGTGTTTTACTGATGACCCAGAAAACTATAAAAAGAATTTTAAACTCCACATGAAATTAATGGCACTATTCAGCTAATGCAAAACTGACAGTTATAGATACCTAATACGTAGGCTGGTTATGAACCTGACCATTTAGCCAGGGGAAAAGATTCTTTTTCTTGAATATAAATAGAAAGAATGAAGTAGAAAATGAAGGATAAGGTCATCAGACCTTTGTAAGTAGGTCTCTATATCCTCTGCTATTCCACAAGAGGCAAATTATCACTTACTCCAAGAATTTTGTTTTTCAGATCCGGTATTTTTGGAACTTTTATGGAACTTAGTATCCAGACACATTCAGTTAATGATGTGCGATTTTTATCCTGTACTGTTTTGTGTCTCCAGTGCTTTTCTGTATGATCATTCATAAAAGTAATGTCTTCAAGTTGTCTCGTCATCCACCTTTCAGTTAGTATGGGATTGGATTCTGGAAACCACATTTCTGTTAAAGTGATAAAGGTTTCAGTGGAGATAGGGGCTACCTTGATTTTACCTCAGTTTTTTATTCAAAATTCTGATAAAAGACTTGTTAAGGACAAGAAGTCTCCACTTCTGGATATTCAAAACCAAACTCACTTAGATGAGAATGTTGTCAATAACAGAGTGTAAGGTGAAATGTCCCTGTGATACCCAAGCTGATGGCACCAAAATTTGCCTCCCAGTAAAACAGAGCTTTTGATAGCTTTACTGGTGAGGTGAGTAAGTGCTGACATAAAAGTGGCACGAGAGATGAGAGAAATCAGGGTGTTGCAGAACTCAGCTGAACTTGGGACTAAGCAGAAGTGACAGTCCTTCAGCAGAGGTATACTTGAGAGGTGACATACCAATGCCATGACAATACCATGATTTCAAATGTGCTTGACACCAACATGTTCAGGTTTAAGATCATTGTGGTGTCCAAATTATGCCAGTTTTGTGGCCTTTGTTGGTGTTGCCATGCATGTGGGCAAAACCATGGGCAGTTCCAGCCTATAGGCTTTGATTGAGGAACGGCCACTTTTTTGACTGATGTCAGTGTGACACATCCATCCATCCATTCATTCATTCATTCTTCATTCATTCACTCATTCATTCGTGTCATCTAAAGTAGTCCTGTTTCTGCCTGGTTACAGTGGAATCGTGGGTTGGCGTTTACACGGTGGCAGACTGTTACCCTGTACAGGAAACCTACACGAAGAACTACAGCGTGACGACCTCCACTCGCTTTTTTGATCTACAGTTGGGCATTGCTGACCCCTCGGTGTTCACCCCACCCAGCACCTGCCAGACAGCCCAGCCCAAGAAGATGGAAGGTGAATGCTGATAATGGACTCTGGCTGCCCCTGGCAAACACGTATTAGCCAAGAGGATGGTTTATTAGTAGCTCCTGACATCTAACCGCATTCTTCAAGCTTATTGTGGCTCTTCTGGGAATTACAAGTTTTCACTTGAAAGAGAACATAAACCTTGAACTGAGTGAAATATGTAACACAGAAGTTCTCTTTCATCACGTCAATCTGTTCAGTGATGCACTTGCAGTATTGTACAGTCACCACTAAGATAATATTTATAGATAGTATTTATTTAAGCTGTGGCTGATTTTCCTTTTGTGAAGGTTTGGTTATTTATTTTTTCAGGAAGACAAAGCTTAAGCAGACTGCAATAATGGGAACATTAAAAGGAAGAGCTAGATTTTGTTGTTGTTGTTGTTGTTACTTCTGGGGATTTGAGGGAAGTGGAAATATGCTCTGGTTAAGACCTCATCCCTAACTGAGAAATACCCTGTTTTAAACAATGCACATCAAAAGTGTGGAAATCTCTTCTGCTGGTTTAGGTCTGATTCGTGTCTGTTATTTTCTGCCCATCAGAAAGTCCAATGTCTGAGCTGATGCTTTCTTTCTGAAGAGAAACTGGAGTAACTCTATTCATGTAATGCTAGCTGACATGCAAAAAATACTTGTCTGGTTCTTGGGATAATGGTGTGAAAGGAAGGGAAGGAGGGAGGGGTACACCCCAAAAAAAGGAAGCCAAAGTTTTCTTGCATTTATGGCACTTTCGGTGTTCCATGAGGGTGCGATGGAACATTTTTCAGTCACATTTTACTTCAGCACTCACTTTTCAAGACAATACTAGTTTTAACCTATGCAAAGAGATCGAGAGGTACCGCCTTCTAAATGGCTTTAATCTTTTGTAAGTGTTTTCAAAAGTTTCTATACTCAAAAGAGTACAAAACCACCTCTATAATTCCAGGTAGAAGTGAAAAAAAGCCGTTCTTAGTGTGTAATTAGTAAAGGCTAAATCAATGTTCACACAGTGCCTGGTGATGCAGATGGAGTGAAAGATGGAGCTGTGCGACTAGTGTGGGGAGCTGGGAGGAGGAATGAGAGGCAGAGGGAGAAGTTTTGGATGTCCCCTAAGCTACCACAATCCAAGCAGAAATGACAATCTTGCTTCCTTTTGCTCCCACTCCATTGATGCCTGCCTTGTTTGCTGCTCCATCAGCATCTCAAACCTCGTTTATTAACTCTGCATCCTTTTCTGGTGGGCAGAGTGAAAGTTTCTTTAAGGTGAATAAATAACTAACCAAAAAAAGCTTGTTTTCTTTTGCTTTAGAAAACTCAAACCAAATCTTTGTGCACCTTCAGGCCCTCAGAAGTGTGGAATGGTGATGGGTTTTGCTGTTTTACGAAATGAAATGAATTGGCTTATTCTGTAAGTCTAGGCATGCCTTTTAGTTATTGTTTGCAAATGTGTTTAAAGCCATATTCTTGTCCTCTTACCCATGCAGGGTACTTGTTTGCTCCAGAAGTTGTCTGACTGTAACAGTGCCACACTGGGAGCTTCAGTGTCTCTGGAGAAGAGATGCTGGGCAAGGCTTTTAGTGCTTTATATGCTCATAGCTTCTCGTACGTGAGCAAGTGGTACAGCAGTTATTTTGCTTTCACAGCTGTGGTCAGAATGGCATTTCACTTTGCCTTGTGCCTAATGAAAGCATATACACATAACTGCTAAAATCTAGGTAGCTGATTAGAACTTTTCCCCTGGACATGACGATTCCACCGAAACTTGCTAGCGGAAAGAAAGGTTGGGTTTCCTTGGATTTAGAGTGCAGTTAGTCTGTGCTCGCCTTCTGTATTTTTTGTGACAACCCAAATGCTAAGTGCATATTGTTCTCATTAGGGCAGTGATTAACACACATTTCTTAATATCTGTGTCTTGCTGGAATCTGGAAAATATAATAAATCTGGCTAGCAAACATGAAGCTGTGGTACTGCCTCGCTTGGGATGACTTTGTTGTGGTACAGCAGATAGCTGAGTAATCAGGGTGTTTGTATTATGTTTTGCTGACAGTGATACCATTTCTAGCAATAACACTAAATGTTCCATTAATATGAATTTGCAAAAGTCTGGTACAGAGAACAGAGCAATTTTACATGGCTAAGTATGCACCTCTGAAGAATCCTGTTGTCTTCATGTTTATGCTTTGCAGATTCAATAAAGAGAGTTGTCAAAGAGATGTCAAACAGCAAGTTTTGGGATTACGTGTTTTAAATTAGCCCTGAACCAAATACGAAGCACAAAATGGGTATGGTTCGTTATCTTTGTTGTCCTTTGCTGCGGCTTGTTGTCATGTACCACAAGAGACATCTTGTCTTCATGCGACTGTGCCAGTGACTCCATAAGGATGAGCATAAAAGGACTTTAAAGTACCCAGACTGTGTGCTGCTGCCGCGATGTGAAAATGGGGTTTTCATACATCTGATAGCCTGGGGAATTTGTTTATCACAATTATCTAATATAAAATCAATAGTAAATCCCTATGTACATGAGTTGTATTGCATTGTAACAGTGGCAGACCCGGGGAGCTGGGTAGTCTGAGACAAAGCTGGTTTTGTGAGACTTCCAGTCCTTCCTGGTTTCAGCTGGGCCAGAAGCAGTGCAAACACAGACCTGCCTGCCATATTTTTGTGTTCCTGCTTGGAGGCATTGCTGAAAGCAGGATGTGTAGAAACACAACATTGTTTTATTTAGAGTTAACCAAACATTCCTGAACCTCAAAACAGGTTTAGTTTGAGTTTGGGGAGGAGATCAGGGCATTTGGTTCAGTTCCTATTTTAACAGTTTGCTTAACTCTAGTATTAGGGCCAGATTTTGCTGCCTCAGGCCATGCTACACACCATGGAAGTGCTGCCATTTACCAGGGCATGCCAACTTTCATGAAGAATGCAGGAAGAAATACAATAATCCATAGTGACAGTAAATTTTAGCCAAGAAGTCTCTTAAGCAATACAATATTCTTATTTTGGGATGCTCTAATGAAAGTGGATTGTTTTCCACCTTGAAGTTCATTTCATTCTAGTACTCACACTTACTCCTTGCAGCCTTTCATCTCTTTTCCCACCACCCCTTACTTTCTAATGTCAGTGGAGCCCACTTCCAAAAGAGCATGTACAACCTTTACTTGCATTATTTCAGTAGAAGTTCAGCACCTGAATACCTGATGGATCTGCTCTGGACCTGACTTCCTTAATTTTGCCAGCAGTCTTCTCTCAAGTGCAAGAATGGTGCCAGCCATAACCAAATGTGAGCAACATACAATGTTGGTAAGCAACCAACAGTGGAAGCAGCATTGGTTCAGGTGCAATTGCTGGTGCCCTGAAATCCCAGTCAATGAGAGAGGTCTTGGCATGGCTCCTGCATCACAACTGCACCTCCTGCATCACATCCTGCACCTCCTGCATCACATCCTGCATCCTCAGCCACAAACTGGTTCTGGATACAAGCTTCAGGACCTTCCCATGTGACAGAAAGGCACATCAGGAAATCATCAGGTAGTTGCCTGCTCCTTAGACATGAGGAAGAAAGATTTCAAAAGAGCACTACCACAAAAAGACAGAGGTTCTTGGTTCTAAAGATCCAGAGGAGCTACCTTTTCAGGAGGCTGCACGCATGGCATGGACCTGGGCACATACAGATTTAATCTTCGTGTCTGCACTTACACATAGGAACAAAGCAAGCTTGGAAGGCTCTTCAGACACTTCTGATCATTTATTGCTTTGTAAGGGGAGAGGAAGAAAAGCGTGTGATCCAGTGAGACTCGTCATAATGAGATCCAGAGTCTCGTTATGATCAGAGACTCTGATCCAGTGAGTGGTCTCAGAAGACAGTGACAGATATGTAGGATAACAATGGAGCTGCTGGGGTATATTTCCAAACTTTACTGATTTTCCTGCTGTTACTTTGAGGGCATATTGGTTTAACATGCTCCAGGGTAAAGACCCATGTGGCTTGATATGGCTATACAGTAATTCTGCTTTCCACTTGCCCTTGTTTTCTTGACTGTGATTGCTCCCAGCCAACATCACTGCCTCAGCCAGTGGGGCTCACAGGGCCCTGGAGGCATTGCTGCAGTAGCACAGATGTCACGGAGGGTTCCCAGCCTCTGCCTTACAGCGTGTAATCAGGCTCTGCGTGTGTGTTATACGTGTGGGCTTACCCTTTGCACCCCTGCGGGCCCGCTCCGTGCACGGGGTTGTTGCTCCTGCGCTCAGCACCCGGCCGTCACCATTAATTGGGCTCAGCTCAGGCTCTGCTGACGCCATGCGAAGGGGCCCGGCAGCAAAAGGAAGGAGAGGAAAGGCAAGGGAAGCCTGCTGGGCTCACCCTGCTCCCCACTGGGCTTTTTCCCACGCTTGCCCAGCGCTGATAAACAGCTCTGACGTTCCTGAAGCAGCACAGCCGCGTTGCCAGCTCTGCGTTACAGCCCGTGTCACGCTGAAGGGGAGGGTTGGGCTTCACCCTCGGCACTAAAATTATCCCTCAGGCCAGGCCAGGCCAGGGACACAGTCTGGTTTTTGGCGGAGAAGGCATGCCCGCTCCCATCGCCCCTCCGCTGCCGTCCCAGCCTGGCTGGCACGGACTTGTTTGGGCAGCCACAGTGCTCCTCAGTCTGTCCCCACTGTCCCCTCTCCATCCTCACTCCCCAGGACAAGCAAGGGTTTAGCAGGGACCTTGCTCTCCCCACAGCTACTGGGTCTTTTCCACTTTCCTATAAGGCTTGCAAAGGTGTGGGAAAAGCCCTCCCCCTTGTCCCACCACCGTGCCATTCTTCATATGGTTGCTTCAGAGTTGGGGTCTTTTTCGTTGGAATACTGAGCTTGGGTCTTCTTGCCACTGTTGTTTTGCCAAGTAGTGATCCTTGTTTATTGCTGCAGTATCTCATACTTAGCAACTTGTATAGCAATAGATGCTTCTGATGCTGCTTGTGGTAAGAGCACAAGGGGTGGAAATACTGAAAGCAATGATGAGTGACAGCAGAGATCCTGTTACTGATGGCCCAAGTGACTACCAAGTACCAGAGGGAGCTCTGGAGAGGGTATAGACACTTTACCCCAAGAAATACCC